ATCGAAAACCCCAGGACTCCTACAGGGGGGTGTTGGACGAAAAATGCAAAATAGACAAACAATACGTTTCACTCAGGACTAAAGGGCAACGATAGGGGGGGGGCATGCATCGACCAGGAATCGGCGATACATCGCCGATAGATCGGCGATGGGCTCCCGACAGCGAATCCACACCTTCCTAGGCGGGGGGGGGCGATCGGGCCCCTCTCGGCGATCAATGCGCGATTTGGGATCGATGCATCCCCCCCTATGCCTCTCCCCCCTGTCGTTGCCCATGAAGGACCCGCTTCCCCAATGGCGATACTATGTCTTCTTAACGTCAAGTCGGGCATGTCCTCCTACAGGCGGATTTTGGAAGAAAAGTGAAGCATCACCCAAAAGTATTCCACCGTAGTCAAAATATCACCCACAGGCTATTTAGGGGGGGCTATCTTTGAATCTGCTTCCTGAAAGAGGGACGTGGCCGAGTTAGTTTTGATGCCTGGCAGGTCTCGCCGGGGTAGCGACGCCGTCCTCGTCGCGCCGCCCCCACCGCCGCCGCCCCTCGGGTCGGGCGTAGAGGGGGGATAGCAAAAGGGGGGGGTGAGACTCAGCTCACGTAGCTGAATTTCCCGGCGCCTCCCGGCGCCGGAGGCGCCCATGTGTCGAGGAATGGGCCCGGCGGCGGGGCCGAAACCAGCTGCACGCATCAGATTTCGTAACCCCCCGTTTCCCTATCCCCCCGTTCGTTCGGCCCGATCCTCCTCCTCCTCCTCCTCCTCCTCCTCCTCCTCCTCCTCCTCCTCCTCCTCCTCCCCCCTTCCTTCTCCTCGTCCTCCTCGTCCTCTTCCTCCTTCTCCTCGTCCTCCTCGTCCTCCTCCTCCTTCTCCTCCTCGTCCTCCTCGTCTGGCCAGACCCTCCTCCTCGTCCTCCTCCTCCTCCTCCTCCTCCTCCGCCTCCTCCGCCTCCTCCTCCTCCTCCTCCTCCTCCTCCTCCTCCTCCTCTCCCAATCCCCCCCTTTCGTCGGGCCCGATCCCCCCCATGCGGCCGGGGGGGGCGGCGGGGGGTGGCCTTGGGCGCGGGCCTGCGGCGGCTGATGGTCGTGCGGCTGAGCGGCCGGCGGACGCCGGGGGCCTCGCGGGGGGCGCGGGGGGGGGGCGTGCCGTCCGGCGGCGGCCGGCGAGGGGGGAAGCGAGAAAGAGGAGAGGTGAAGTCGGGCGTGTCCCCCATACAGGGGGATTTTCGACGAAACATAAAAGATACTCCAAACAATAAAAACTCCCAAATGGTGAGAAGATACTAAAAAAATGTCCCCATACTGTTTTACTATGTTAGAATATTCCTCCTGTAGAGGGACAGGCCCGACTTACAGGAAAGGCGCGCCCTGAGAAGCTGTTTTTGCTGGTCTTCGGGAAAGGGGGGAAGGCATGCAGTACATCGGCGGCGAGCGAGGGGGAGAAAAAGGAAATGCTCGGGCTCGAAAAAGGCCGCAGAGCTATGGTGTCTGGGGCTCTGTGCGTCATTTTTCTGGCAAGGTTGCAATTTTTGTTCGCAGCGGCGGATCTCAGGGGCTGCCCTGCACGGGCCACGAGGGGATGCCGCGCTCGATCACTTCCTGGCCCTCTAAGCGGGATGGCACCTGCAGCAAGATGCTGTCGGCCCGGAGAGCGACACTGCCAACGTAATGACTCGCCCATGGCCCGCCACATGTCGGCATGGGCTCCCAGCAGGTCGCTGCGAGGCCTTTTTGAGATGGCGGCGGGACTTCTCAGAAGCCCTCGCGCCTTCTGAGAAGCTGTTGCTGGTCTTCAGGGAAGGGGGGAAGGCTCAGAACACTTCTCAGGATGCCTCGGGACTGCCGAACCTTCTGAGGAGACCTTCTCCTCCTCACTTCCCCCCCCCGCTCGCCGCCGAGTCAAATCGCGTGAGAAGGATGGTACACGCCGGTCGGAAGAAGCAGGTAGCGAGGCAGGAAGGCGGAGAGAGTAGATCGGGGTCGGAGCCGCCCCGAATAATCACAAGCAGCAGCCAAGACATATCGATGGCGAGCGTTTTTTTTCATTCGGCGTTTCGACATTGGGCGGAAAGGGGGGGGAGGGGGGTTCTGGTTCCAGACCTCTGCTTAGTGCGACTGTTCGCAAGAGTGCTGCCTCTTGGGGAGACTCCACACGCTCGAAACATGCGCCAACAAACAGCCAAGATCTACTCCATGGGGGGAGAGGGGGGATTGGGCCCGAGCCGATTTGCAAAACAACGAATAAAAACACGATCACGTAGGAAGGCGCTTGAAGCAGAGTGGGCTTGGAAACCAGAAATCCCAACTCTCAACCACCGGCGTGTAAGGATGCAAGTGCCTCGGAGGGCCATGTCGGCGTTTTCGAGCGGGGCTGGCCAGTGAAAGTCGCCGAGGATGGGCCCGAGGGGGCACGGATGCAAGGGCAACCTCGGAAAATTGCTCATCCTTACTGTGCAACTTCATTGAGCTAATGTTATGTCGGGGAGTCGGGCATGTCCACCTACACACGGAATTTAGTCGAAGAGTTCGCAATAGTCAGAACAATGATTCAAACATGCCCGAAAATACTTGAAAAATCGCCCCCATACAAGTTTCTGTTATTTTTGCAGATTCCTCCGGTAGAGGGACGTGCCCGACAATGCTAGAGTCATGTGCTGATGCTGGAGGCGCACGCCCGACACGGACATGCAGTATACATCTCTTGCAGTATATCATAGCCCGAGCGGTGTAGCCAGAAGGCGCTCGCCCCCGAGCATATGCTGTACAGGGGGGCCGATCCACAAGACACCTTCCACAAGACACCCAACCCTGAGACCCCAGGACGTCCAGTGATTTTTGGCGTGGGAACGTCACGTTTTCCATCGCAAAATCATCGAAGCCCAAGAAACCCAGGGCACCCTGGAGGCAAGCAGGGTGTTTGTTGGCATGGGTCTCCAATGTAAGATTCCTCAGCGCGCGCGTCGCCCATGGGGTGCCGACGCACACGCGGTAAAAAAACGTTTCGGTGCTGCCGATCTCGGGAGGTGTGGAGGTTCTGTGTCCGTTCCATGGGATTTGAGCCTGATTTGGACCCAAATGTGGACTGGACCTGGGACCGAATTTGGACTGGATTTGGACCAGAGACGAAAAGAACGAGGGGGGGAGGGGAGGGGAGGGTGGGAGGTAGCACCCGTGCGATCGGAAAATGCAGATCGGGTGAGCTGGCCCGAAGGCGCTTCACGGTGCACCCGCAGCTGAGGCCGAAGCCAAAGCTGAAGTGCACAGAATAGTGGAGAAGGCACACCCTGCAGGTTCGGTTGACAGCACATGTTGAGCGGTGCTGCAGCCTCCCAAGAAAGAGAGAGAGAGAGAGAGAGAGAGAGACGAGAAGAACGAGGAGGAGGAGGAGGAGGAACAGGAACGGCGAGGAGGAGCAGGAGGCCCATCTGCGGTTCAAATGCGGTCAACATGCAGGAAAAGCTGATTTCCATGTCGTCGCCCAAGGCTCCCATGAACAGACAGCGAGAGGAGGGCAGGGGGAGCCCCCAACCCTCGTATACGGCCAGGAACCTTTGCACCCTCAGATCCTGCCGATGCATGCTTGTCAAAGCAGGCGGTGTCGCCAAATTTCGGCACCCTGGGCCCTCATGTATCGAGCTGGCTCGAACGGAGGGACGTGCTGCAGCGGATTGTTGCGTGGAGTTCTGACAATGCAAGCCCCGAAACGGCGAGCAAAAAAGCGAAATTAGTTTCACATGGATTTGTTGTACCATTCATTCCTGGCCAAGACAAATCCGCACACAATTCGAAATCCGGAACGAAATGCTCCAGGATACTGCGGGCCCATCCTATTGTTTTCCGAATGAAATGCGCTCTGTGATGTTGGGACCATGACAAAGAAAGATGACATCCAGGGCTTGGAAGTTTAGCAACGAATGTGCGCGGCGCTAAGGCGAGAGCCACATTTTGAGAACCACCCGCACTCCATCTGTAAAACTATTGCCAATGTTGAAGCTTCAGGGTCACAAATGGTGAGGAAATCCCCAGCGAAACGCCTGGCCCGCCCTTGCGACCAGCCTCGGGATGCGACAGGAAGAGTTACTCATAAGGAGAAGGAATGGAGGAGGAGGAGGAGGAGGAGGAGGAGGAGGAGGAGGAGAGGAGGAGGGGGCGGGGGAGGAGGAGGGGGAGGAGGGGGCGGGGCGGAGGAGGAGGAAGGCGAGAGGAGGGGCAGAGGAGCGCACCACTCTTTCAAAATGATGACGCGTCAGATTTAGGTCGGGCATGTCCTCCTACAAGCGGATCTCGGAAGAAAAATAAGCAATAGTAAAAAAAGCCTCGGAAGTAGTCAAAAGAGCAGAACAAAACGGTGCCAGACTACTTCTGTTCTGAAGTATTCCTCCTGTAGAAGGGCATGCCCGACTCAAAGATAATTGAGTCCCCTCCCCCGGCCACTTGCGAGGAAGGGGGGGGGGCGGCTCATAACTCTGGTCTCTGAGGCCGCCAGGGACGATCCCAGCACCCTGGGAACGTTCTCGGCGAGGCACGGCTGCTGGAGAACATCCCCAGGCGGGATATACCCCCCCGGAGGAGGAGAGAGGGAGGGAGGGAGGGAGAAAGGGAGGAGAAAGAGCAGGGAAGAGGGGACGAGAGGATGAGGAAAGAGGGAGGACGAGTCAGGATTAGGATACGGAGGAGCAGGAGGACAATGAGGGAGGGAGAGGATAAGGATGAGGAAGAGGAGGAGGAGGAGAAGAAGACGCAGAAGGAGGAGGAGGAAGGGAACGGGGAGGAGGACAAGGACAAGGAGGAGGGGGACGAGGAAGAGGAGGAGTACAGAGGAGTCAGGATGAGGAAGACGACGAGGACGAGGAGAAGGACGAGGACAATGAGGATGATGAGGGAGGACGAGGACGAGGAGGAGCAGAAGGAGGAGGAGGAGGAGGAGGAGGAGGAGGAAGATGAGGAGGATGAAGAGGAGAAGGCGAATGAGGAGCCTGCGCGAGGGGGTCTGCTCCAGCAACGGCGCTCTTGATCTGAGCCGCCAGGCCTCCGGCGATGCTGGAGCTCCTCTGGGGCGCCACAGCCGACGAGGCGACGGGGGAGCTCAGGGGGGAGGGGTAGGACGAGGAGGAGGAGCAGGATGAGGGGAGAAGGAGGGGCAGGCGGATGAAATGCAGAAAGGGGGGCGAGGACAAGGCAGGCGAAAATTCACGTGGGGACAGGGTTGAGTGAGAGCAAGAGGGATGAGGGAGGACGAGGAGGAGGAACAGGAGGAGGAAGAAGAGGAGGAGGAGCAGGAGGAGGAGGAGGAAGCGCAGGATGATGAGGCACAGCGTGCGGAAGCAAGCGAATTAAGAGGAGGAGGACGGGGAAGAGGAGCCCGAGGAGGGGAGGAGGAGGAGAAGGAGGAGGAGGAGAACGAGGAGGAGAAGGAGGAGGAGGACCAGCGTAAAGCCAAGAATCATCAACGATGTTGGAATTAACCCTCCCCCAAGCTCCCTCTTCATAGGCCCCTACAACGGTTCATTCCCATTGAGGGAACTGCCGCGTTGGAAGACAACCGTTTGAATGTCCTGAAGCATGCCAAAATATTGTTCTCGTGATTTCACGGCCACGTATCAACCTGACTGCTGCGTCTTCACGATCCAGAATGGTGCCATAATGCCATTTTTGGGACTTCAACACCGCGAATCAACATGACGGTTGCACCCACATTATCCAGAATCCTGCCAAAACACAATTCCTGGTACGTTGATCATGGGAGTCCGTGAAATTCTTGCACATTTGAAAACGAATGTGCGCGGAGCTAAGGCAATATCCACAATTTGAAAAAAAGAAGCCGCCCAAAATCCGTCAAATTCTTGCACATGTTTAAAACGAAAATGCGCGGCGCTAAGGCGAGAACAACAGTTTGAATTCTTGCAAACGTTTGAAACGAATGTGCGCGGCGCGAGAGCGATAATCAAATTTTGAAAGCGACCCGCCCTCAATCCGTGAAACTCTTGCAAACGTTTGAAACGAATGTGCGCGGCGCTAAGGCGAGTGCCACACTTTGAAAACCACCCGCCCTCAATCCGTGAAACTGTTGTCACTTGTAAAGCTTCAGAACTATAAATGGTGAGGTAGTCTCAGGCGAAGCGCCCGGCCCTTCCTAAAAACTGGCCTCGGGGTGCGACAGGGAGAAGTTATCTACAAGGAGAAGGAATAGAGGAGGAGAGGAGGAGGAGGACGAGGAGGAGAAGGAGGAGGAGGAGGGGAGGGGCTGGTGAAAACATGGGGAGGTGGATGGCATTTGGTTGTTGAAGAGAGGATGGGGTGGGATGAGAGGGAGCTGATCTGATTCTGATGAGAGGAGGGGGAAAGTGAGAAGGAGCCTTGATATCCTCGAGGATCTCGAGGCGGACCAAGCCGTTCGGTGGCGACTGGGGCCCCTGCAAGAGCCCCAAAGAGGTCAAACGCGCTTGCAATTCGTTCCTCGCCGCACCGACGTCATCCGACCGAAAGCCGCCTCCAAATCGCCACATATCCGGCGGGCCCATCCTGACGAGTTCCCCACCCCCGACCGATCTCCGGCGGCCCCAGGCCCGGGCAGAACGACCCCTGGAGGCAGAACGTCTTGGACAGACTTGCAGCCGTCGAGACCGAGGACAAACTTACAAACGTAGAACGTCGAGAAACGTCGTGGTCGTCGTGGTCGTCGTGGTCGTCGTCGTCGTCATCGTCGTCCTCGTCGTCATCGTCGTCCTCGCCGTCGTCCTCGTCGCCGTCGTGGTCGTGGTCGTGGTCGTGGTCGTCGACGGAGTCGCCTGCCATGCGGCACCTCCGCGCGACGGCGCTCCCCGCCCAGTCCTGAGCATGGTGTGCTCCCTCTTGAAGTCGGTCGCGTCGGCTGCCTCCGACATCGGGGGTGCCAGGGAGATGGGGAAGGAGGAGGTCGAGGAGGAATACGAGAATGAGGAGGAGGAAGGGTGATCTGGGGAAGAGGGGGGGGGAGAGGGAGCGCGGGAGCAGGAGGAGCGGGAGAAGGAGATCTGCTGATGGCGTGTATGCTACTGGCGCGCTTTTTCCAACCAGGCAGACACGCTCAAGGCGCGAGAATCATCGGAGACGACCCTGGGCCACCAACTCTACACTTGAGTACCCTTGCGTGCAGTGCCGGCACGCGCCGAAAAGCTCGATCCAACGTTGCAGACGGAGGAGAAGAGAACGAATGTATGGGAAGAGAACGAATGGTTAAGAAACAAGGCGAGGACGACGAAGACATAGGGGCAAACATTGAGTGAACAGCCCGGCTCTCGGTTTGCTAGGCCGGGCGTCACGGCGTCACGGGCCAGGGCTTCGCGGCGCCTCGAACTGACCCAAGGGGAGCACATTGCTGCGCTCGGTGACACACACACACAATGCAAAGTATGCCCAAGGGAGGTGGGTAGAAGAAAGACGCCGAACCCCCAGCGCTGCTTCTCAAGACACGAGCACGTCCTCTCACTCAGCAGCACCAGCGGAGGTCAACCTCCAAGAATTGCAAGTCGGGGTAAAAACGGTAGCGCCTTCAAGACCTGCCGGGCGAATAAATAACCAGTGAGCGGTCCAAGAACCGTGCGGGCCATTGAAATAGCTTGATCTCTCATCTCCATTTCTGGCTCCCTGGGGCCAGGCATCCCGCGCAACAGCGTATGGTTAAGGTGTTAAGCAATCTGCTGAGTGATACTATTTGCAAGAGTATTTTAAACATCCAACAGGACATCAAAGCACCAGGCGCTGAACACCATCCACGTTATCAGGCAGAGGGTGAGGAAGATGAGTATGCAACAGCAACTGTCACAACATTGAAATATCCCACCATAGTTTGGCTGTTCCCAATTTTTGCGCTCCCCTGGATGAGATGAAGGATCCATGATAATACGAATCGTCATGTCTTCTCACGGCTTGCCCTTGAGTAGCTTCCGAAAAGAAGATGGCCTTCGCGGATTTGAAATGTGGAATGTCCTCCTCTTTCTTCCCTTTCTCCTTCGCGTACTTCTTGAATGCCTCGCGGACCGGGGCATGCTTCCAGGCCTGGTCGAACTCGGCTTTGAATTCGTCGAGGGCCCCTGCGGAGCGCGTGATCTTGCCCTTGAACACCTTGCGGATGACGGCCTTGTCCCCCGACGTCAACTTCTCGCGGTCCACAACTGGCGCCTCTGGAGATGGAGGCGATGCCGGAAGAGCTGCTTTGATCATGCTCTGGATATGTTCCAACTGCCTCTCGTTGAAACCGCCGTCGGGCGGGGCCGGCGGAAACTGGGCCGGCGGGGCGCCCGGCGGGCGCTGCAGCTGCGCCTGCCCGCTGCCGGCCGCCGAAGATGACCCCGAGCACGCGCCCTGGCTCTCCAAGACGTCTGCCAGGAGCCGCCCCTGGCGCTGGTAGATGGCCTCGTGCTCCCGTTCAGCCTCCGCCTTCAAGAACGCTGCGTGCTGCGGGTCGGCATTCTTCAACACCTTCTGCGCCGTGGCAGCTCTCGCCGCCTTGCGCTCGTCGTCCGGCGAAGAAGACAATGACGGGGAGCGACGGTGACCACTGCGCCGGCCTTGGCGATGATCTTGGCGACGGCCATCCCACCCCCACCGGCGAGGCTGCTGCGGGTGCGGGCGACGGTCCATGACGGCAATCCAGCACCTGGCGATCCTTCGAGCCGTCAACACTGCAGAGAAGCTGAGCGGAAGACTATGACAAAGGGCGCCTGGGGGACACCCAAACTTCGATAACTCCACGATCATTTCGACCAATACTACGAGCGAATCTCCTCCAGACACAAGGGCGCCCCTGGCCATGGACAGCTTCCCAAGCAATGCGCCTCGGAGAACTCCGAAAGAACATGTAAGAGCTCCCAGCCGCGGTGGGAATGATTTCCCAGGAACCTCCGAGAGCCCCGAGATCCATTGACGGTTCGGGTTCTTTAGGCTCCAGGAGATGCTGCTGTCCAGGATGCGAACTTCTAGCGTTAGCCATTCGAACGTGTTGCACTCGTTGGTATCACTGTAGTACACTTCGGAAATACTCTTGGAATGCATGTAAAAAACGTCTTCAAGCAGGGCGCGCAGCACTGGTAGCTGGCTGACAAAGCATCATCTACATATCGCAACCAATCGACCAAATGTTTTCCAGGTGCCCCAAATGCTGCCTCCAAGGCACCTCTGGAGAAACGATGGTTCTCCTACGCCTTCTTCTGATGCAAGATGGACGGCGACAGCGGCGTTCGACATGCGCCCTCCGGTCGAGAGACCCTGCGCCCTGGGAACCATGTCCCTGACACAGGCGTACGTGCCTCCTTTTCAGGCGGCGCGCAACGCTTGCCCCATATCCTCCAAGCTGATGGCCCACCACGCTGGAGAGCCGAACGAAGCCGACGCTCGGGTTTGCACTTCGGGACCTCTGTGAACGAGAATCCGAGACTGCCCTGTCTTCTCCTGGAACGCAGCGGCAACTTTTTCCCAGCCCCGCGGAATATTGCGGGCATCGCGCGCATCGAACGCTTGATCAATATCGCAGGTGAAAAAAGACAGACGGCCACCGGTTCGTTTTCCACATTGCTTACACTTGCACTCACCACTCTCACCTACTTGCGGGGGTTCCAAGTTTTTTAGCATGGCCTGCAAGCTAGGCCCTTCGTCACATGCATCGAAGAGCTCATGCTGATCCAGCGTCTGCAATGCCCCCCGAATCGCGCGCCCCATGATTCGCCAACCTTTCTTGCGCGGAATACAACTGCAGTCCAACGCTGGTCTGCAGCAGGAGTGGCCTGGCTTGGTGCAGACGCGGCCTCCGACATCGCCGAAACATTTGCTTTTGACAAATGGCCACAAGTATGGAGGATGAGTCCGCTGCCGGCGACGTGAAGAAAGGCGAAGGAAAGGCGGTAGCCCTGCAAATGCCCGCGCATAACCAATACTTTGAAGGTATCCAGGGGTCGCCTCGTGGTCCAAGCTCCACTCTGGGTCAGATACAATAGCACCCAACACACCTGCAATAAGCTCACAAGGCTCGCACCCCCATACTTTGGACGTGTCTCGATCGTCTTGGACAATGCACACATGCTCTTTGACAACACTGCCCATGTAAGTTCCCATCGTTGCCCAAAGCTCCGGCCGCTCACGTAGACGCAACTTGTGCACGAAATCAGGGATCCGCTTGGAGATCATCCTGGACACGCGCACCGGCACCATATGGAAGCACGCCCACTTTTCCCACTCGCTGGTGAAAGTCTGCAGAAGCTTGTCCCGAGTAGGCCACTGAGGAAGACGCCACGGGGCTCGGAAAGCCCGCAATGATATCATCTGCATGCGCTGCCCCAGCTCACCTTCCGATAACTTCTGGTATTCCTGTAGATCAAACTTCTTGAGCCATGATTCTGCATTGATGTAGTCCCGCCATTTGTCCCACTTGGCCACGACAAACTTGATATTCTTTTCCACCCACACTCGTATCGCGACATTTCGAATATACCTGAGACCTCGCTTGACTAATACCCGCAACTGTCCCAAATTTGCCGCCACAAAACAAACAACCCGGATAGGGCGAATTCTGCTGGAGGTAGATGCAGCCGTCGTAAAATGCATGTGCACGCGTATTTTGCTGACCACCTTGCAGACTCACTCCGAAAGAAATCCGGAATGGCAGAGACCGAGTCGTAAAGATAAGCTGCAATGCGCCATCATTCCCATCCAGTTGGAAACCACGGTCTGGCATTTTTTGACGCAAGGAAGGATAGCCAAAGCCAAAGAATCCTGCTTGAAATAATGGCAGAGGCCCAATCGCACCGGTCAGAAGAAGAACCCGGCACTGCAAGATACGGTACAAGCTCCCGTAACCGAATGCCGGAGTAGGATTGCCGAACATGTCCGGGATGAACGTTTTTCCATGGCTGTGAAGAGCTTCGAGCTTTTTCTCTGCGCCGACAAGAAAATGTTGCTGCAACCATATGCTGTCCACCGTGGTGGTGGGCAACTCAAAACCAGATTTTCGCAACCTGCGCGGAGGTCTCGACCTGCCAGCTTTGTTGGGTTTGACGTATTCCCCAAAAGAGTATGAAGATACCCCACGATGCACGCTGTTCGCTCCAGGCCTCCCTGCCGAGATAAGGACCGCTTCCACTGCCAATGCTTGTTGTTCGCTGCTGTACTCGACGATGGGTAAGAAACACAAGTTGGGGATGTTCTTCCGCAGTAATTTGTATGTTAGGTTTTTGCCCTTGTACGACGAAGGATACAAAATGCCACTCATGTGCTCCACGAGCCTCTTTGGTAAACCTGGGATGCTGTCACCACGCCCAAATTTTGCTCTGCCCACGTAGCAAGTTGCGTGACCGAGAAAGACATACGATGCTGTGCCCTGTTGAGCCTCGACACATTGACCTGGTACATTTTCCCACCACGATTGTTCACCCAGTGAGATAGCTTGACGTACGCTTGGTGGGATAAACTTCCACACGTTTCCAAACCATTGTGGGTGACAATCGGGCCGAAACACAGCACGAAGTCGCCCAACTGCTAGGCCACATTGAACAAGAGCAAGAACAACCGGGAACCGCTGCTTTGTGGTTACGCTCTTTGCCAATGGTGGTGCCATACACTTGATCATAATCGAAAAGCACTCCATCAACACAGGGATGTCCTGCCGCACTGCACATGCGAATACCCACTTCCCAAAATCTTGAAAGGCTCCACGTTGAGGGCACTGCAGAAAGGCACTCCACTTGGATATCTCGCGAGATACGTGCGCGCCAAACTTTGAAGGCCCAGGAACCAGCGCTACGCTGCGACCGATGGCAACCATGGCCAAGCAAATGAATATGAAGAATATGAAGGGGATGACACGCGCACGCACCGTCGGATGTCCCGGCCACCTGCGCGAGAA